GCACAATCGGCCATTGTTGTTGTTGTCAGCTGTGAGGGGTTTCCGCGTGGTTTGGCTTTATGAAGCAGACACGCAAACGGTTACGTCATGACGCAAACGATGACGCAATGACGCAGCACCAGTCGGACTCTGGGCAGTGTGAAAAGAGCCGGAGCTAAACCGAAGAACCGGTTCTGAACCTGAAAAGCTCTAGCACGGAGCTTGAACCGGAGTTGCGTTAGTGTGAATGAGGTATCAGGAACCCAAGTTAACAATATAAGCAGCGAAGACTCGCTTTACATGGACAGAACAAACACATCACTTAAAACAAAGTTAAGAAATCACCATCGATGACTGCATGGAAGTAGGCAACATCACAACAGCTCCCTGGAAAGCTGCTGCTCGCACCACAGCTGGCTGTGTTGCGTCACCGTGGTTTCAACCCTCCAGAGGGTTACCAACCAACTCACTGAATCTGTGTGTGTGTGTGTGAAGCCAGCTGGTGGGTGCTGAAATGAGAGATGATTAGAAATGAAAAGATAACTGCAAATGAAGTGACTGAGTGTTGATTGAATGAGTAAATGGCTGAGTGTGTGAATCTTGCTCTTGTTAGATTTCTCTGTTCTTTTAGTGTCCCATCATTGCATATTCAACTAATGATTATCATTTATTATCTTAAATAGATGGAACAATAATAGATGGATCTTCAAAATCAAATAGCATTGGGAACCTACTGGGATGTCTCCATGACTTTATAGTCTTAGTGAAGAAACAACATCGCTGTTGAAAATGTAGTTTATTCTGGTCTTTCTTTCTCTTTCTTTCTGCATATTATGTGTTTGATAAGGGGTCGATATGGTGCTAAGGGGTGGTAACACTTTCAAGTCCCCCAAAATGGTCCCATTAAGAGCCATCATGTCAACATCCAAAAAATAAGACACCTCTCAGTTTGTTACAAGTAATTGATAATAAGTGCAACATTATATCATTTCAGTTTAAAGAGCTTCCAATTGATTGGAGAGGACCGTTGCAAGTCAGCAAGTTAACCACCGTGAACTTGTTTAAGATTTGACATTGTACACTTCCAGCTAAATGTTACATCAGGTGTGAATCTGTAGAACACACTGTTCTGTTTTGTAGTTTCCACATGACAAGGCTCTGTCGTAGAGGGCGGATAAAGAACCAGGTTGTGTTAGGTCAGGTCTCTAGGGAATCTTAGGACCAGGCCAGTAGATGTACATAATGGTCAGAAAATGCTATGTATTTCCAAAGAGTAAAATACTGTATTTGAGCAAAGGAACTTGAACTTTATTGAAAATGTATCACATCTTATAAAAGGTAAACATCTGTAATACTGATCTAACATTTTTGAAACATCAGCAAATGTAGACTGTTAGGTGCTAAGAGGGCTGATCGATGTTGGCAACGCTCACTCAGCATTTCCAGAAGCCTTTGCTCATGCTGTAACTGAGACAAGACAAAAGGGGGGAGGCAGGTTGAAGAGTAGTAAGTGTGTTGATAATAGTCTCCTCGATATTGATGTCCATTAGATAAATATACAGCACCCTGAGCCTCTCAATCCCCCACCGTGCAGATTTGCGCGCAAGTACACATATCACCCGATCCCTTTCGCTTCCCACAGCGATGAGTCTAAGATTCCCAGCATTTAGCATTGATTATTAATGGAAGGTTTGCAATGAAAAGGGGGGCAGAAACTGAGCTGCTCTTTATGCACACTGGCTTTAAGAGAAACCAGGGGGTTCATGGCCAGTCTCTTCCCAGAAACCCTTCTGATGGAAAGTGCAGGGCTTACGTAAGGAATTTCTGCTTAGTGTTGTGCTGTCTGAGGGCCACGGCAACTTTTGAGGACAATGACTATGCCTTTTTTTCCCCCAGAAATTGAGTCTTGACATTGGTCTTAGCAGCTATAAGGGACACTGAGTGATGGGATGTACCTTAAGAGCACAGGGGGAATGGATTTGTGGTTGTGTGTTACAGTGAGCACCAGAACTACAATTCAAGCCTCATCATATTATGTAATGTTTTCTTAATATTTTACATCGATACAAATGTTAAGGTCATCAAACATATCATTGGGTGGTTTAAACATAATGGAAACTATATAAGCAAGAGAATGTCATAAGTAACACTGCCTCTCATTGTTTTGGGTGTAAAAAACAATTCTCGTTCCAAAAGTCGCCTTGTGTGTGGGAAGTCAAAATAGTTTACATGAAAAAAACTAGCTAAAAATCTAAAATTCGTGGTTTCGACTAGTGAAAACAAAACGGCAGGTGAGATCGTACCATTAAAACAAAAGGCTAATGTGTTCAAATATTGTTTTGCTAAATCATCCAGGAGTCAGCCCTTAAGGGAGCACTACTGCTATTAACACCTATCTGTCTTTATCCCATCACGTACAACAATAGCCTTAAACTGGTACGTGATAGAGATCCAGATGCTATTTGGTAGTTTAATCGAAAACAGAGTCATGAGACATGTTTTCCCCCGGTTCGTTTTTGTACTCATCTTCCTCTGCCCTCTTCTTTCCCTGCGGACCTAAATGTGCGTCAGCAAGTTGCTGAGCGCACCGGCCCGACCTGCTATCACTTTATCAGCTCCTGTCTCTATTCTTCTTTTAAAAAATATGAAAGAGGAGAAGTCACACATTGGTATTTAGATATTTTCTTTGACTTTGCAAGATTTGTTGTCCATGGATAGTCTTAAAATAAATGTAGTCTCAAAGGCTTTTCTATCCTGCCCAAAGTAGAATTCAGCATGAAACACTCCTTATGCATTCAAGATGAACAACTTAGAACTCATCTATTCAGTATTTGCTCTGTTCCAGATTGCTGAGTCACATGGAGCTTATTTGAGGCAGAAGTTTCTGTGTTTAGCAGGCATACGTTTGCGAGCAGATGAGGATGTGGGCTTTCTCCCGTTGGGTCTTCCGTGTCCCTTGACTGACTCAAACCTAGTGAGCAAAAATATCCACATGCCTGCGTCTTCTCCACAGCCTGAGGGAACGTAATAATGCCTTAGCTAATCCGATTAACATTAACAATTCCACAGGGGGAATCACTGCACATCTGCAGCGGACAGATAATCATTTCGCCTCAGATGTTTGTTTCTTTTTTTGTTTCTGTTTTGCCGCCTCTTATGTCTTTGGAAGACTATCTGTGTTTTGTACTGTGGACTTGGATAGACAACATTGCAGTTTGATTTTTCTGTAGCAAACATAGGTGAATGCTCTCCTTGTCTCAAGGGCAAGCTTTGTATGATGTTAGGCTCTGATGATTGTTTTTTTGAGTTATGCCAAGGATGGTTATAAAACAACAATGCAATTCACTGTTCCATCTTGTTTGAATTATTAAGGTCAAAGCAATGTATTATTTTTTTATGTATCAGGTCTGAAGTGCTTGACAAAGGCAGTGAATAAATGATACAGAAAAATAAATTATGAGCCAAGCGCTTCCTAGATTCCAAAGAAGGACAGATGAAACAACCAATGTATTTTTGTAATGCTTTTTGCATTACGTCAATGATTAGAGAGCCGTCCACTGAGAGAAGAATCAGCCACTTCCCACAACTATGTATTTCTCCAGGAATAGAGGGCCCACCATATTTGTATTTTAGGCTTCTACTCTGACATTTTGAAATGCTTCAATGCTCAAAAAGTGCTTTATTGTTCTAATACTGCCTGTGCTGCACAAGGCTTTTCACCCTCTGTCTGAAACCAGAGCCCAGTCTGCTCTGATTGGTCAACTGCTTAGATTTGTCCCACCCCTTACAATGTGTTTGGTAGTGGAAGTTAAAAATTATTCAAATGGAGGAGTTTCAGGAAGGGGGGAGTGTGTCAGAAACTCCCTCTGGGGGTAACTTTTAGCGTTTGTAGACCATTGACATGCACACTCTTTTGGTAATTGATTTTATTTGTATAACTGGAATGTGGCCGCCAATTATTCAAGCTATTTATTCTGTCTTGAAATACATAAATCATTCTAAAATGGTTCATTAGTAAATAATGTGAAGGAGCTAAGCTCTCAATTACGGGGACTCCAGCTAGGAATGGCTGAGGTACAACACACTACAAAAAAGGGCAACCCCCCCCAAAGCATAAAGGGCCCCCTTTAACTTTGTCTTTGTCCCATTGCAGGTTGGGATTCTCTACTTCCAGCCAAGTGTTTTCCGCTGCATCCTGCTGCGATGGGTCCGCCTGCTGGGTTTTGCTACCGTCTACGGGACACTGACTCTTAAGTTGTACAGGTAACACACTTCCATTACACACACATACAAAACCATTTGTCCAACGTCGTTATCCATCCCAGGAAATCGGATTACATTGACCTCTTTAAGTGCAATTACATTGTGTCTTAACCCCTTGGAAAAGGACGTATGAAGTGTCGAGGCAGCATGTTCCTCATCTAATTCATCACCGGACTACACTGCTGCACATGTTTAGGGGGAGGATTCACTGCCTCATTAGGTGGAAGAGGGAAATGCCAAGCAAAAGTAATTAAGAAGACATGGGGTGCTGTGGCCCCAAATGATCTCATATATAACGCAGAACTGAATGATAGTTGGCAAGAGACAAATGGAGAAACAAATGTGTGTGAGATCAGAGGAAGGGAAAGCACAGCTGGAGGAGGGAGAGACGAGAGAGCGGGGTATTCAGCACTGATAGTTGATAATGAGACAGGGGGTCCGCTGTATTTAAAGTAAAGCACTTGAAATTGTTCATCTGAGGGGCTTTTTGTCAGGTGAATCTGTCAAAAAAAAGTCTAATGAAGATGCGGATTAAGAGGATGTGGATAATGCGAGCCCAGTAAACCCTTAGAGGTGCCAGTTAACATATTGCACAGATCAATTTTTGATGGGGGGCTCATTAGTGGTGAGCGCAGTGGACACTTCATCAATGTGTGTGAAGGGCACAGCCTATGAATAGCAATGGCTGGTCATGTGTTGAGCACAGTTTAATTCAGAGTCACAATCCTTGTGTTTGTCTGCAGATTTAAATCTCCATACTGTTGTGTAGAAATTCCCCTGCTCCCCTGTTGTGTTGTATCAAATATAGTATCATGTACTGAGCTTATTTTTCCATTGTTAAGGTCTAGTTAAATATATACATTTGACATAAGGTTATTAAGATATTTCCATTCACCTCTTTTCACCATCTGTCTATAACGAAGGCCCAGTCAGCTCTGATTGGTTAACTGGCCTGCTCTGTTGTGATTGGTCAACCGCTAAGCGATGTCCATCCCCTAAGCATATAGTGATGTCACTATGTTACAGATGTAAACAAAAGATTCTAATCGAGGCGTTTCAGGCAGGGGGGAGTGTCTGTGGAAAATAAACTCCCTCTGCGTGAATTTGGAAATACTGGAAAGGGAAAACTCCAAAGTCATAATAAGGCCCATTTAATACAATCACCCATATGAGGTTTGCCTAATCTGCTAGCCATTTGCCAGACACTATTAGCTATTTCAATAGAACCCTGATCAACATTGTTAAATATAGTTCCTTTGCCAGCGTCATTATAATTATATTAGTTTTTGAGCCTTCTCTTCCAGTGTAAATTAAAGAAGACAATTTGAAATTACGCTATGAAGGTAGCTAACCTTTTTTTTGCACCAAATTAATTCCAAACCTTCTGTTATCTCATATATAAATTATTACTCGCGATAGTTGTAAAAAAAAATGAATGACTATTTTTTTCCTCATCCTTCATAAGTCCTTTAGTCTTGAGACACATGTCGTTGATAATAAAGCCACAAGAGGTCCTGTCATTTTAAGTTTTGGAGCAAAAGAAAAAATGACCGTCTCTTTGGTTTCAAGCTCTTGCAAACAAATTACAGGGGTTTGTCTTTGCTAGAAATAAGGCGTATCATGTTCAACAACTGTATGATGAGATGTTTCATATACAGTAAAAACCCTGATGTACAGTACAGTAACCACAGTAGGACGACACAAGAAAATAAAATGTGCCTTTCAGAAAGTTGTGCCATTCTGCCTTTCCTATGATTCTTTCATAATGTAAATGTTATTTTGTTTTAATGTTCTTAAAGTGAGCATCTCATCACCCCCCCCCCCCCNCCCCCCCTTAGGGTGTTGAAGGTGTTCCTGTCCCGTACTGCTCAGAGGATCCCCTACATGACCAGCTGGCGAGTGTTGCGTCTGCTGGGCATCATCCTACTCATCGTCTGCTGGTTCCTGGTGGCTTGGACATCTGCTGTCTGTCAGAACCCGGACAGGAAGTTGGCTCTCATCGACGTGGGCTACACGCCCGATGGGCTGCAGTTCAGCATGTGCCTGCTGGATCGCTGGGACTACATGATGGCTGTCGGTAAGCCCTGCTACTGACCTCTGCCTCCACAGGGTGATGTACATTGATTTATGGAACACTGAACTCTGTGTGTTAGGGGCAAAGTGAGAAGACAGGGGTTATTCGCGGGATTCATGGAATAAAATCAGGAGGCAATTTGTTTGGTGTGATAGCATTTGGAGGTCAAAGAAAGTCAGAGGTGGGAAGTAGTGGAGTACTGTACTTAAGTACATTTTTCTGGTAGCAGTACTTTACCCCACTACTTGTTTTTCTGATGGCTTTTTACTTTTACTTCTTACACTTTTAACACAAATACCTGTACTTTTACTTCTTACTTTTTCAAAACAGGCTCGTTACTTTAGTTTTAATCTGTGTTTGGCGACGTGATCATTATTATTTAGATTCATTGCGTCTGAATGAAAACGTTGTAATTTTGCCGTTGTTCAGCATCAAAACATTAATTAGCTAACAATGACATTATTGTTGTATTAATATAAAGTGAGGTCAGTTACTCTATAAAACAGATGGTAGTTATGGGTACTTTTTACTTAAAGTGGACCTATTATGCTATATTTGAAAAATATATTGTAGGGCCATACCTATACAAAACATGTCTGAAGTTTTTTGCTTAAAATACCAAACAGATCACCCATTGTAGCCATGCCTCATACTGCTCATTCCCCTCTATTACAGCCCTGTTCCAAACAGGCTGATTCTGCTTTAAATGGAACGGCTACTGCTAGCCACGCCCTTTTGTAGCGTCATGCAGCTTTCCCCTGCTAAGAGAGTTTTCTACGGGGAGAAACTCAGCTAAACGCTGCGGTGATTAAATGCCATATCCCATATTATGCTCCCAACCACTTCAAGCATTATTTCTGAAACAGTATGGAGCTCAAACCTTTCTCTCTCGCAGGGTTTACGTTACACATATTCTCTCCAGTTAGCCTACAGCGTTAGCTCCATGGTTAGCTCTGAGTGTTAGCATGCTTGCTAATGTAAACACAGAGCATATTACTCCCAAAACAAGCCGTGCATTGTTTCTGATACAGCACATAGCTTGACATGCGCCTTATGCCATTATATGTATTATATATAACAACTTTACTCTAAGTGCCTCCTGCAGACATCCTGCTGAATACACAGACACACAGCTGCGAGAGGGGATTCAGCTAGACACGGAGACGATAGGTTGGGATGTGTCACGTGTGCCAGAGACGATAGGTTGGGACATGTCACGTGTACCGGAGATGATAGGTTGGGACGTGTCATGTCGGCCGGATGTCGCCAATGACGTAATAGGAGAACAAATTCTGGATCTGCTTGTTGTCTTTTTTATTTTTTTAGAGATGTGGGTATGGATGAAAAGAGAAAGGGTTTTGTTTTCGGAGACTTTGTGAGTTCCCTGACACACCGGGGACACATTTATGTATAAAAGACATCAAAAAGTGCTTTTTGCATAATAGGTCCCCTTTAAGTACATTTCGAAGCCCTTACTTTTTTCACTTTTACTTGGGTAAAGAAGTTTAGTCAGTACTTTACTTTTACCAGAGTAATTTTAAACATGAGTACCTGTACTTCTACTTGAGCAAAGGATGTATTTACTTTTGCCATCTCTGAAGAAAGTGAGGAAGATAGGTTGGGTGGGGAAAACAGTTTGTCTCCATTTACATTAGTGAAATGCTCATTTGTTTTCCAAAAGTAGACATTATTCCTCTCAGACAGGGCTTCATTTTTGGACATATTCCTGTGGTGCAGAGGGCAACCAGCAGCCTATAAAGGTAGCTGAGAAATCAAACAATCTCAGAGGGGGGGCAGCATCTTGCCTTGAGGAAATCTGCATGCTGTTTTACATCTGCTGACTCAGGCTTGAATGAGTCAAAACCATGGTCCTTTCTTACTTCAGGGAAAACAGATGGACCTCCAGCAGAGTCAACATGCTGTGATACTGTATACTGAATGCACATTTTCATTTGGATTATAAGTGGGTAAAAATAGGGAGGCGCGAGTCAGCTCTGACGTCATCTACATAGTGTAAGGCTCATAAATTAAAAACACACACACCACTCGCATGCAATACAATAAGAAAACTACCTTCATTCCAATCAGGATTTATTATTTAGCCAAAGCAATCATATATAAACTGCAGTTTCAGCATCACAGAGGTGTTTGTTAAATCTGGAATATTAGATAGCATTTAATTACATTTCTCTCAAATTCTTGCCGACTCTACAGCATTGTTTTATATATGCACTGTGAAAGTTTCCTTTTGGTCAAGTTGTTTATTCTTTGTACAATAATGTCATAAGGCACCATTCATTAAGGCATGTTTCCCTTATTGGAAAGATGATAATGAAGGAGGAAAGACAGATTTCTTCTCTTTCTTTAAAAAAATCTGAATCTGTAACCCATATTGGCAGACGCACTGCAGATCTACTTTCATTCAATTTAGATATTTAGATATTTTGTCCTTCTCATGCCGTCACAAATAACACATTCAATTTCATCTAATGCTATCTATTGTTCCTGTTGTGAGGAATAACGTTTGTGTGAATCATTCCCAGTAGTTCAAGCACACAACACAATAAATGTGAAAATAATGGCAACAGGTTTTCATGGAAAAAGCTCCGTGTTTATTGCTGTGGAGTTTGCTACCTAGGTGACGTTACATGGGGTTGCCATGGAGGTGCATAGGGATTCATTTATTGTCCAGAGAATACATCCAAAGCTGTTACGAATGAGTATGATAGCCTTTGTTAAACCAGACCTTTTCTTACCTGTGTTGTACAACAGCTTGCACTAGCTCAATGAGAGCACTGAACTGTGAAGTGTCTGATTCGTTGTTGTATGTTACTTTATGTTTGGGCCTACGAAGCCTGTCAAATGCATTAAATGTATTTTTTCAATGTGTTCACGACATATTTTTCTATCTTGCTTTACAGCTGAGTTCCTCTTCCTGCTGTGGGCAGTATATCTGTGTTATGCTGTGAGGACGGTGCCCTCTGCATTCCACGAACCTCGCTACATGGCCATCGCTGTTCACAACGAACTTGTCCTGACGGCAATATTCTATGTCATCAGGTGAGAATTCTCCCTCCCTGTCATTCAGATTTGCTTAGCGCATATATGTGGTGGCATGAATATAAGATAGGTATCTCTATCTATCTAACAAAAACATTACATTCATTTGAATTCCTGGCACTATCTTTATATTCTGGTGCGGTGATCTCCGCCCCTCTGGGGATAAGAGGAAGATAAAACAACCATTATCAGGAACAAAAGCCTCTTCATCAACATACAGATGCTGTCACTTACATTCACAACATGTGCCACATTTACTAGCTCCATATTTTATATTATAGTCTTTGATTGCCCTCCACTGCTGTCATTTTGACATTTATGTCCTCCAGTAGATTGTCTAATTTCCATCACATGCGGGCTACCGCTCGACCCCTCTGTTCATCTAGGGTTTTTTATTATTGTGGTGAAATCTCCCCCCTCCCTCCAGTGTACACGTCAAATAGCTGCACCGTGCAGTTTATAAATTAGACGTTTTAGCTGACACCACCACAGCCAATCCTAGCTGGAGTCCCCCTAATTGAGAGCTTAGCTCCATCACATTATTCACTAATGAACCATTTCAGAATATATTATGTATTTCAAGACAGAATAAATAGCTTCAATTATTGTCAGCCACATTCCAGTTATAAAAATAAAATCAATTACCAAGAAAGTCTGCATCATTGACGTATATTTGACAGTTTCTCTGGATAAATCTGAGACTTTTTAACAGTTTTGATGGTATTTAAACATCTGGCGCTTTGTGATTATTTTGCCAACCTCTTTAATCGGCCACTACAGCCTTGTTGTGAGGCTTTGCTATGCGGAAAATGGCCCAATAAGACCCCTTATAAATTGGAAAGCTGCCTGGTTTGCTAGTTATTCCAACTGGCTGCCACCAGAGACCACAGCGTACATAGGGGTTTGTTAAAGGCATCTGGCAGCCATTTTTGTTACTCACAAAACCTGCTATTTGATCCCTCAGTGACCAGTTACAGCTCAGGCTTCTTTGTTTGATGTGATAGTCATCAGGTTTTAGCCAGGTCCAGGTGTAAGTGGGAGAAACTGAAGGGAACATAATAGCTTGAGGTCGAATCGTGAGTGATGGGGAGTGTTTCAGTAAAGCGCTGGCTGCGAGCAGACAGCATGCCAAGATTATTAAATCCTCATCTGCACCGAAACTCCTTACAAAACATGAATGAGGGATGACTTCAAAGCTTTTGGACATTTCATCTGCTGGACCTTTGCCTTCATTCATCCCTCACAGCTATAACCACATTACTGTTTGTTAATTAGCCATTTACCAACTAACCACTGTAATGATAATGCTAGATGACATTTGCTTGGAGAGAAGCACCCTGGTGGTATATGGAATCATTATCTGACAGGACATACCTTCATGTCTTTGCCGTGCATGTGGTATCACATTGCAAAAAGCCTGTTCTAAATAAAAGGCTGACTATTATTTTTCCGTGTTATTATCTCATTTTACACCAACTGCTGCAACACAGTCAGCCCAGTGTCTTATTGTCTGAAAATGGTTGAATCTTGTGACCAGATCAAGGTCATTCCCCCTTATTGTGAAACCAATTTCGAAAAAGGAGGAAAATATTGTGTCCTTGCCAGCATAAGGATCACCCAAGTGGAACATTATATGAGGCAGTGGAACTGACGCCTAGACAGACAGTGTATAAATCTACTTTGGCTGAAAACACATTAAGACTGCTGGTCTCCGTCTCTGCCGGCTCCATCTGTATCTAAGAGGTTTACTTCAAACACAGTAACGAGTATGAATATCATAGGATAATTTAGTTATTATTGACTGCCTTTAGTGTATGTACATTTAGAATTTGACAAGGCACTCTTGTATAGATGTTAAAGATCTGTTTAATAACAAGACTAGTGCCCGGAACAACAGATATTAAACTAATAATGAACACTAGGAATTCGAGCAGCTTGATTGATGAATCTGCATGCATTATCATTATTATGAATACTTTACTATTACTAATAGTAATTGCATGTACAGACAGTCAAATAAATTGGCTATATGTCTGGGTATCACTGCTCTTGAATTAATATTAAACTAGATTCATTCTCTCCCTCTTGTCTGTTTTTCACATCCTGAATATCTTTCCTCTTTGTTTTCATTTGACAGGTTCACTCTAGCTCCAGAGCTCCATCCAGACTGGATGCTGTTACTGTTCTTCACCCACACACACTTAACTGTTACAGTAACACTGGGTCTGCTACTCATCCCAAAGGTAATCATCACATTTAAAAATGTATCATTCTTACCTTACATGTCTTTTTTATTAACTATTTTTGTTTTAATCCAGTTCAAGGATCAAGCTCAAAAGAGATTGTATTTTTACATTCTTGTCAACAAATCTTATGACAAGAGAAAAATGAATTGTTATGATCCAAGTACGTTTTGTCTGTGTATCTGAAGCCTGATATATATTGTACATTTCTGTGGCATAGACCTTTATTGTTATCCAAAAACACCTCACTGAGCTACACAAAAGGTGACATTCCCAGCTGTTTTAGGAAACTACTTTGTCTTTTTATTGAATTAAGCTGTATATGTGAGACATATTTTAAAGATTTTCCATAGTTACCAATGGATTTTGGGGTGGGGAAGAGAAAGGCATGGAAAGTCAGGAGGGATTGAGAAGCAAACTAAAACATTGATGGCTCTGAAATGAGTGTTACAAACAATGCTGTTCCTCTTTATGCCACACCATCAGTTCCTGTTTGCTGGCACCCACATGAGAGATGATATAGCCTCCGAGGCGTATGAGGACGAGATGGACATGGGTCGTTCGGGGTCGTATCTGAACAGCAGCATAACATCGGCATGGAGCGAACACAGTCTTGATCCTGAAGACATCCGGGTATGAAGTGCTTCCTATAACCTTTCATTCTCCATTGTATAACCTGGTGACAACCTTTCCAGAAATACTGAGCAATGGTAGTTTTTTATTGCAGACACCAGACGAAATGGGCCATCTCAGTTCTATTAATGGCTGTGGCGTAAGGTCTTGCGACAGTCATTGGGAAAAACGTACCAACGTGAGCAGAGATTTCTGTTTGTCTGTTAGAGCTGAAGAAGTCTCTCTACCAAAAGATTTGGGCAAGCTTATTCAGCAGAAGGCATTCATTGTGTCAGATCGAAATACAGACAGAAATACCATAAAATAAAGACCTGAGCTTCGAGGCTGTTTCAGACCTAACATTAAAACACTCCGTTTCCTATTTTGATGCTGTCCGAAACTGTCCTGTCTTTGCTTTTTATCAGCACGCATGTGATATTCCGTAGTATATATTTTAACCGTTTTTAGTCAAGTCTCCTGAATTTGTACTGCATGTCTCTGTGCAGTAGAATGCTTTTTTGTAACAGTGCTTTGATTAGAAATATCAATTTTTTTATGAATGCACTTCTTTGCAATCTAAACTGCCAACTAATCACCTTGTTTCTGTCTTTCCCCCCTTGATTTGTTCTAAATATGTAGGAGGAGTTGAAGAAACTCTACTCCCAGCTGGAGATTTACAAGAGGAAAAAGATGCTAGCAAACAACCCTCATCTCCAGAAGAAACGTAGTTCCAAAAAAGGGTTGGGTCGTTCGCTGATGAGACGCATAACTGAGATTCCGGAATCGGTGCACCGGCAGTGCAGCCGTGAAGACAAGGATGCTGGAGAACATGGGAGCAACCGTAACAGCATTTGCATGTTGAAGAAGAACCCCTTTGATCAGACTCACCCAGGAAAGCCGGCAAAGGAGGAGACGCTTAAGAACAAGGTTTTCTCCCTCAAGAAGTCCCACAGCAGTTACGACCATGTCCGTGACCAGAGTGAAGACTCCAGCAGCTCAGCAACAGACAAGATGGAGGTTACTCCGACTGAAGGCTCTCTCTTGGACACACTTATTGGCAAGAAGCTGGTCAAGAAGAAGTCCAGTGAGAATGTAGGGGTCACCAGTGAATCTACAGAATCGGTTCCTTTGGTCTGCAAGTCAGCTAGCGCCCATAACCTCAGCGCAGACAAGAAACCGATTCATCCCAGAGCCTCCATGCTTCAGAAGTCCCTCAGTGTCATCGCCAGTGCCAAAGAGAAGACTTTGGGCTTGACAGGAAAGACCCAGAGTGCAGAGGACAGCAATAAGAAGAGTCAGCCGAAGAGCAAAGAGACGAGGGCCAATGCAGATCCGGAGAATGAATTCCAACCCAAGATGATTATCAGCCAGTCAGTTGAGTGCAAACAGACTGCGTCATTGGGTAGGATCATGAAACAGCCAGTGAGCGGTAGCCAGCCTACAATCTGCTCTGATCCAATCACGGGAAAAGACCTCTGTGATCTCTCAGAGGTTTGTCCCTGGGAACTGGAGGATCTCCCAACGCCGTCTGAAAACAAGGTCCAAAAGCATGTATCCATCGCGCCAGATGAAACCACAACTGTTCACGGAGGGAGCACCAAGGGAGGAAAATCTCAGCAGCAGAAACAGAAAGCTTCTGATCAACCTCCATCGAGTGGCAGTCATTCAAAGGAAATTCCAAAGACGACCGCTGTACGAGCAGAGATATGTCCATGGGAAGATGGAGGTGAAAGTCAAGGTAGTCAAGTAGAATGCTCAAATCCACAAACAAACATTCAGGCAAGCAAACTTGCTCAGACCCAACCGCCTCATTCAACAGAGAGTTCCAAAACACATCGGGTAGACGTTTGTCCATGGGACGTTGAGGAGGCCCAAAAGAAAACTGAGTCAGCTTTTTCTCCAGATGTAACAACACAAAGAAAAGGCACCTCTCCTGTGGAAGGTAAAAGAAGAAGTACTCTTTTAGATCCATCCAAAACAGGAGACTCGCTGCAGCCACTATCTGCAAAAGCAGATGTCTGTCCCTGGGACTATGAAAGCACTGCAGTATCTCCAAGTTCTGAGAGGACACCCAGTCCGTCTCAAGCATCCAAAACCAGGGAATCCCCATCAAAAAAGAAGGGTACCCCTTCCACAAGAACAGTTGAGAAAGAGAAATCAAAAGACGCTGATATTGAGAAAAGTAGAACAAAAGCTAAGGACAAGAGTAAATCTTCAGAGAAACAAACAAGCCAACAAAAAATGGCTGCGGTATGCCCATGGGATGTGGAGAGTCATCAGGATGTTCCGGCGGTAGAAAAAAGGAAGAGTGCAAATGTAGGGACGGCCAAAGCAAAGCCAGTTGAAGTCTGTCCATGGGATTTTGAAGCTTCATTAGATAAAAAAGATACAGACAAAAGTGCTTCTCCCATGAAACAGAGCAATCCCAGTCCTAAAGGCGGTGTTGTAAGTGCTCAAAAGGCAGATGTTTGTCCCTGGGACTTTGACGATAGCACATCAAGCAAGAAGGCATGACCTTAATGGACTATTAAAATGATAGTTATTGATGTATACTTTTTTCACTCTGAAATTGTTAAGTGCGGTGACTTGGAAGAAAAGTTCAAGATCAAGTTCCACGAGTTGCCTTCCTTTATGAGTTTTTTTCCTCTTTTACCTATTTTGAAAATAAGTAAAATGTAAAAAAACAATAAAGTCATGACAAGCATTCCAGATTATTACAGGAAGATCCTGAGGATAAATCTTAGACTAATTATGCAACTTTTGATTCAGCCTTTTCACTTCATTAGCAATGTTGAAAATCTGCATATATCATGTTCTCTATTCGGTCAACAATTCTTGGTGGTTGTTTTGTGCATTATCATCATCACTTATTGGACTAAGATATGACATGATCTGTAGGGGGAAAAGAAGTATGACATTAAGGTTGATGTACAAAACAGCAAAAGTGAAAGCCAAAGAATAAGGAAACAATTGCAAAGAGCGTTATTGGTCTGTCGGCGATAAAGTTAAATTATTATTTTGTGTCCACTCCTTGGCACAGAGGGAGGGACTCCCAGGATATAAAACAGTATATAGCACTTTAGCCAACCTAAATTGAGAACTGAAGGTGTTCTTTTTGTACATTTTGTCTTCTTATTTTCAACTTCATGGCATGATGTCACATACCGACCAAACTTAGTTTTTATTTAGATCTATTTAATTGTAGTTCTCAGCAGATTAAATTGCTTCCAAGTCTGCAGAGATGTACTGTATGTGCCTAACTAACTAGCATTGTCTTGTACCAGTCTGAAGCGAAGCAAAATACTTCTTCTTCTTCAGCACTTTGTGACCGTGAATTATATAAACAGCATGCACAGCCAAGTGTTGAGACTAGTTGGACCCTTCTGGTTTGTCAACTAAAGCAGTTTATATGTTGAGAAATATATAATGGTTTGTTTTTTTATATACCAGAGGCACTCCTTTTACTGCTTTCCTATTTCCAGACGCTCATTCAGGATGGTGGAGATTATATGAGAGCAGCATTAACATGAATGTGTGTCAAAATGGCTCATATGTACACTGTAAAAAGTAGGGATAGAAATACTGGGGCAATACTGAGGGAACAATTTGCACCAGCTTTGTTTATGAATCCAGCATGGATCATTTTGTTGGCTTGAACCAAGTATGTGTGTTTGTGTGTGGACACAATATCATGCATTTATAGTGTAAATGTAATTCTGTAGCTAAACCTCTGATGTCTCATACAAGAAGAAGCTTTAACTCACTAAAAACCCAAAAATGAAATGGTTTTCTAAACGGTAATTAACATATTTTACCATTTAATTTCACCAACAGCAAGTAAAGCTACTGCTTTGAAGGGTAATAGTGGTTTATTATAACTTGGGTTTTATTTTCCTAATTATGGCCATCATTCCAACCAAACATTTTGAGACCTGGAACAGGTCAGTGATGTAGCCTTGTTTCCAGATTTTAGCTTTTACTTTGTCATAATTACCAAAATAAAACCCAATCTTTTGGAGATCAAAACTATCCTTTGATATTTTAAGATAAAATATAAATAAACGACCATTATACAATGGCGATAACAAGCACTACACTGCCATCAGTTTTTTATTTGCATTTCTGTACGGAAATCGAATGCATGCTCTTCCCAGTTTAATTCAGGTTTGTTGATTAGTTGAGATGACCTTTTAGAATTAGGTTTAGCAATGCGGCATCAACTAATAATCTGACTAAACCTTTTGAGGACTTTAATTTATTTAATGTTTTGTATCAAAATGTCTAAATATTCATCACGCACTATCCACGTGAAAAAAAGAATCTCCCACTTAAATTTGAAATGACCGTTGAACATTTGCTAATAATTGCAACCTTGCAAAAAAACATATATCAATAGCATCCACGGTATTTTGTGAGAAATACATGGTAACACTGAATGTTGTCACTGATTGTAATTATCTATAATTGCTGTCAAATTCCTTAATATCCAAGCTCTGTAGTATGGGATTTAAAAAACAAGTCATATTTGATAAAACATACTGTAGGTCTTCAATTGCTTCATTTCTTTGGCACAAACAAAAAATAGAACAGTGAAAATTATATTTTTGAATCTAATTTTGTTCTACAGTTTACCTCTATCAACATGATGTAGATGCTATGACATACATCTCTGAAAGATTACCCATTGACCTATTGGGGTGTCATCTGAAATATTTCAAATGTGTAGTGTTTGCCTTACAGCGTGAGATTTGTCATCCCCCCTTGAGCTCCTATAGGAACGGTGTCTGAGAAGAACTGTCAACGTGCATGGATTGATTGTAATGATTTGATGGATCTATGTGATATTTATCAGCCAGATGTTACGCGTCATCCATCATATGCATTGTGGTAGTAGATGCAGGGCCATACCAAGAGACCTTGTGTGACAAGAACGACATTTCAAAAGCCTTTTCTTTTTTTTAAGTCACTTTGGAATCACTGCCGCGTTGGATCTTTACTGCCCTGGTGATGGACAATACGCTGTATATTTTTATCCTTGTAGGAAAGCTATTTGAAATGAGAAGATGTGTTTATTTCTTGATATTCATTTTGAAGACGACTTTAAATGAGCTCAAACAGGCTTTAAAACAACCATGATTTTCATGAAATTCTAATATTTGTTGGTAATTTGTATGACGACAAAAGACGGTATTTTTTTTCTCCATTTAAAAATGTACTTTTCAAGGCATTTATTGATTAACTTTACACACTGGGCCCATGAGATTTCCAGATTAGAGCTGGAGCACAAGAAACACAATAACACTTGTACTGTCTTAGAGCAGAAGATAATAATATCCAACAATTTCACTGTGTAATACATCATATTACAATCAGTCTTCTTTGCTGTCCCATTTACATAATTCCAGTATGCTTCCTTGAGCATTCCTCAGTTCAGTCAGTCTATGTATACTTACTTGTGTATACATAACCAGTGTACGTTACTCTGGAAATTATCGTCGTCTTTTGGCTGTATCATATGAATCCTTGAAAGTATGAACCTCAAATGGAGCCATTTGTCTTGTACCATCTTAAGATATTGGGAAAGTCCTGTAGCTCTTTGTCCACCAATCAGATCCTTTACCATTGTTGGCTAGCTGATTTCATTTAAACCTGACTTCTCCTCTCTTGTGACCAACCCGATGGCAACACAACTACTATTGCTACTACTACTACTACTATTCAATGCCGTAACGTCGTAAATCTTGCTCTTGTGGCTTCTGCATGAATTGAAGAAAAAATAAATAATAGGACCGATGTTTCACTGCCCTTGATAGAACAAAAAAGAAAAAAAATTGATCTTTTATGGACTGTTACAAGTTGTATAGTGAGTGATACTGTCCCTAACCCACTGTATTATGTGCTTGTTATAACTATTGCTCTATGACAAGCTTATAGCATCAATATATGGGAACATTTGGTAGATTTATATTGTGTTATATTGTGATAGCATGTACATAAAAGATACCTCCTCTGCAATAAATATTTATATGAAAATTAAGCGTGTGCTCAAGTGTGTTTCTGAATCTTCTACTGCACTTCAAGATCATATACAATCCTTTGTCCACGTCCCTACTCCCGAGGGAAGTTGATACAAGACACTCCCATGATGCATTTGTGCTTTGTAATCATCCTTGTCATCCCTTGTGTTTGCTTATTCCTCATGTAGACATGCCGTTAGAGAAACCATGGCCTTTAAAAGCCTCATGCATCATGACCACTTAAGGTTATGTGCTTCTTGGCGACTGTCCTGAAATGCTTTTATGGCTTGATGTGTTTTTTTGGACAGAGATCAATGGACGCTGTGCAGGAAGCGAGAGATACAAGATGGTATCAAATGCTGACTCCAGACCCCTGCAGAAAAACTGAAGCTATTTTCCAATCCCAAAATAATGATTGGCCACGATTAAGTAATGTTTCCCTCTGAGCCAAAGGGAAAAATCGTTTCTTGCTCTATTAATACTATTCAAACCTCATATATTCTGCATAATGAGCAATGCATAAAACTGACAGTGTCTACACAACTAGACTAGTGTCACAACTACTTTTGTCTCTATGAATAGGGCTGTGATGCAGCCAAATAACATTGCAAAATATTATTTTGAAAAGCAAACATGTTAGCATTGATTCCTGTTTACAAGAGCACTTTCGGAGCCGTTGAAATAAATAGAAGATCAATGCAGGCTGCTGCATGGAACTGAAATAGAGAAAACGTCAGAGAAGAAAACACATGAGAAATAACCTGTGACGGGCAGATACGGAAACTATTGATGTCCCATTTGATATTCATTACAGTTAAAAAAGCAGTCTTTCCATAAAGAAATATATGACCGTTAAAGTAACTATAAAACATTGACTTTGTTTTACAATAACAGGCTTTTTTAGTGATTAAACTAAGAGAACAATCAGCTGAGTCAGTGGCTTTTCAGAGCTTTATAGTGAGTTTCAAGTCATTATTTAGCTGTCCAGCCCACAACATTGTTTTAGTTCATTATTATTACTCTAACAGAGGTTGTTTTTAGGGGAAAAGTTCATAAAACCCTTCGCACACAGTCAAATGTATTTGACTGACACGGTTAGAGACTAGCTGGTAAACATTATGTTGATCACTTAGCCAGACATTTCTTTCATCTGTCCCCAAGAACCTGTTTTCAAAAAAGATGTTTAATAATAATAATAATGCATGCAATAAAGTCCTGCAAATCAAGCATTTTATAATTAGGTTTCTTGAGTTGAAGACAGTGTCTGGGGCTGCATTTTATTAAGGAAACAAAAAAACACCTTTCAATTGAAAGATACTCAATTTCTCCTAAGTAACATTCCCTGAAAGCAGCCTTCCAATTGTTACTGGAACCTGCGCATTGTTGGTATTATGTGTCTATCAAGCACCCTACTAAAAGAACAATCATATTAAATTCATTTATACAGAAATATGTGATAACAGGATGTTCTAAAGACAGAAATAATCCCACTGAAGCCTCAATGAGAGACCAGCCCCCTCATACACATCTTAAACTGTGCAAAAGAAGAGTCCTCTGCATCTGTGGTGCATGATGGTGAGAACGGATGTTTGCGCAACTCTTTGTTGTCTTTTAGAGGACAGCGGGACACATCTTCCAGCATGACAGGATACATGTTTATACTTAATCAGAGCCTTTTGTAGGAAGTGCTGGACGGCGGTGGGGAGGAAGACGGACAGGAGATGAGAGGAAGCTGAGCGTTTTGGCACAAGCCAGCACGCTCAGTCGCTGACTCATCCGTCTCTCAGATGGAGGGGAGAGAGGTGGTGGTGTCGGTGGTGGTGGGATGTTGAGGACATGGCATGTGTCATGTCGGACTCATGACTCACAAATAAGGGCTGTGTGCGTGGGGGGGCACCTAGTGGGAGACGTACACATGTGGGAACACGCTGTAACAACATCATTCAAGGGTGCAATTCATTGTTCTTGTGTTGAACCTGATTAACTCAAACACTCCAATTTCTAGAAATCACAGTTGGATGTATTACACCGTTTTAATTAAGAGTTCAGAATGTCATATCCTTTTTATTTATTTTTATATTTTAATCGTTTAACATTTATTAGAATTGTGTTCTTATTCTTATTTTATTACTATTATCTTTTTTTTCTGTTGTACCTATTTTCACTTTATTTGTTGGATCTTTTCACTTGTCTTGTGTCTTATCTTTCCGAGATAAATCACTATTTATTTTATAGTAATTTATTTGTATTATCATACCTTTTACCTCCTTGTGTCTCTTTACCTGTTAACATGTTACATATTGCTGCATGTATCTGTAAAGGTTTTAACATCTGATCTGAGGGGAATTTCTTGTTGTTTATTTTTTACTTGTGATGTGTTCCGTTTTTGAAACACTTTGAGCTGCATTTGTTGTGTGAAAAGTGCTATAAATAAAGTTTTATTTAAATTATTTGTATTATTAAATTACATTTCCTCATGAGTATAAGAGAGCCATGATCTGTTATTGTATAGCACCTAGTGTTGTAATGTTCGACCTCAGCTAGTAGGCAGTTAGCCGCCCCCGAGGTCCTGTTCTCCTCCATGCTCTGAAGCCACACCTACGGACTCCTACACATGCTTTTCTGCCTCAATGGTGGCTTCATCATTAGAGGAGCCCCTGGTGATGCGAGCATACATGACTCACAGAGAACCTCTGTTACGCTCCTCCTCCTCCTCCTCCACCACCTCCACAACTGGCAGATTATGCACAATGCAGACATTAACACATTTATGTCCATGCAATTCAGCATCAAGGTACACTATCACAGTTCAATTACTTACGCATGTCGTCCAATGAGTAATTGTTTACCCCCGTCAAAAGTGTCCTTGTTTCATTGCTGCAGAGACAAAAGCTGGAAACACAGCTCATCAGAACTTTGAAACGTGCGTCACTGTGCTGCTGTTTAACGTAGGTATCAGCTATTAACACCTACTGCATTTGGGGAGGATCGTCAAGCCATGGTATCCACACGTCAATAAATATGACTTCAAACTGACATTCACATCATTTCGTCTTCAATTCTGAATTTTACATTATCTGTAATTGTTATCTATCTCTAAGTCTAAATGCTTTGTCAAATAATTTCCCACCATGCTAGTAACATGCTTTTCATTCTGCATACGTTACAACTTATCTGAGAATTTTGCACGTTTGCACCACTTCATAAAGGACAGTTCTTACACTTTGAATTTAACAATGCATATTGTTCCACAGGTATGTGTTATATTCCAATTGACATCTTTTTTTGTACTTGTATACATTGTTCGTTTAATGTTTTTTTAAATAGTCCTCTTATAATATTCCCCAAGTGTTCCCATTTGAATTTCTTGTCCGGTGTTTGTGTGAACCGTTATGCTGCAAAGCTAATTATTATAATAACAATTTGCTTTGCATTTAGTTGTATTATTATTATTATTATTATTATTTGTATTCAAATACTAAAATCCTTTTATTCTTATAACATGCAAAATATGGCGAATAGCCAATAAAACACCTACCAGGTTGATCCCTGAATCCTTTCATTCCCAGAAGAGAAGAAATACATTAGCAGCACTGTTTGGATACCTTAAGGTAAGAGAAAACACTTTCAGGCCAGTCATTTTGACGGGTAACGGAATATGATGTAACACTGGAAAATACATCATTTCTATATGTCCTCAGAAAGAGACAAAACAAACATATAAAGATAAAGCACACTGCTACAAATGAGTGCTAAAGTGAGCAGCATATTAATAAATGTTCTCAACAAAGGATAACAAACTGATTAACACCTTTGCTAAAACATGCCTCAAATGGGAGAATTTGTGTCTTTTTCTTTTCTTATTTTGAGTTGAAAACCATTGAAAAAAGCTTTCTTAAGCAATCACCTTATATATGACATGACAACAAAGACTGGTGTAAAAACAACATAAACAGGTTAATATTCAATAAAGATAACTGACAAGATGAAGCCAATTGTAACTTGTAAATTAGGATACATTGGGATGTGAGTATTTGTTGCTATGTCTGATGTTTGATAGGCTAAATATAATCAATTGGAAAACAGTATTCAAATAATATTATTTCTCCTTCCCGTCTGAGACTCCTTATAAATACAATTAAGGGCATTTTCCGTAATTCTAGAATAAGATCAGCCTTCATTTGGCATCTATTCTTACAACGTGATTGATTGAACACAATTATCTTAAACTCTAAAGGCTAATAGGCCAATGTATCTCCCTAGCTGACAGGATGAGGCCAGTTTTGGCTCCTCTGATACTGGATGACTTTCCTTGGGTAATGGCTTTGGCTAAGGCTGATATGTAGTATTTTTGGAAAGTAATTCAAATATTGGCAATCAATGTTGTTATTTGTGTTACTGAAACCCGAGATAACATTAATCACTGGACTCCTCCTCTACGACCGGGGTTCATTAGATATTTATGAGTTAAATTATATCTAAACTGCTTATGCAAGTCAAATGATACCAGTTAGAGAGATATATAGAATAGACTTGTAGAATACGGTTTACAGTCATTATCTGTGCTGCAGACGGTGCCGATTACAATTACTTGAAATCAGTGTCAATTACAGCCCCCATGCACGTGACAGGAGCTTGTGAATTTCCTGTACTATCTCTACAAACACTTGTGTTCCTTTATAGAAAAAGGAGAGCATTTTCCCCATGGTGAGTCCTCCCTGGCTGCAGCTTTCTCCTCACATTGTTGTGATTAACTGCCGGAGCCCGATGACACCTCTTCCAATTAGAGAAGCCTTTCAGCCACTTGTGCTGAGAGGAGCACATTTCTCTGAGAAAGTCCTGTCTAAAATATACTATTCATACCTTTTTGACATGCAAAACACACAACGTTTTTAGTGTCTATTTCATTGACACTTTGTGTTGATCGAGCAAGGATTAAAGTGAAAAAACCCTTCATTTTCTGTTTACTGGAATTGTTTCACAGGCTAGCCTTCTTCCAAAGGACTATATGTGAGAGAGAGGAGAAAAAATGAACATCAAATAGCTGGGAACTACAGTAAGGTTAGAATTTTCCTTGACAGCCTCCACTTCAAATGTAACTTTGTATTAAAAAATACAAAGCTAGAGAGATAATGTGTCTTGCTGTGAGGTTAAACATAGATTCCACTCAATATCATAAACACATGCATATTTTTTAAGGATATTACTAGGCCTATTTATTCCCCACGTTCTCTTTGTGACACATGTTCATCCTCTTCCAAGATACATTGGCACAGACACTTTCTTTTCATTATCTACATACTTTTTTAAGGCATGGTAATATTACAAGGCAATATATGACAAAGAAAACCTATTTGCCTTGTAAAAATGTAGAACCAAAAAAAAAAAAAAAAAACAGAATGGGGGAAAAAAAGTTTCCGATCAAATAACCAGCATACTCGAATAATAGTTGACAATTGTTTGGTTTTTCAGAAGAGTCTTGAGTAACCATGTATTGTTGCTACCAGATGTGGGATAAGAACTCAGATTGTGTGCTTAAGTAAAATAGAAGTACCAGAGTGTAGGAACTCTGTTACAAGTAAAAAATAAACAAATAAATGTAGTGGAGTAAAAGTAGGTTACACGATTTACCTCTGAATTGTAGTGGAATAGAATTACAAAGGGGCATAAAATGGAAATACTCAAGTAAAGCACAAGTTTCCTCGAAAAGTGTACTTGAGTACAGTACTTGAGTAAATGTACTTAGTATGTTTCCCAACTCTCGTTACTACCTATGATGGCGCTTCTATGATTGTTCCACACCATGGATGTATAATAAGTAGAAATAACCAGAGTAGACGTTCAGCTCGGCCCCGCCCCCTAGCGGCGGGTAAGCTTACGTCATGGTCATGACGTTATGAGCTGATGACGTATGTAGTGTTATCATTCTGCTGCTGAATTTAAATGACTACAAACTAAATGCGTGTCTGCTCCACGCTACCTCAGTTTACTTCCGGTGTACCTGTTCAACTCTACCCATCATAGCAACGGTAAATGTGTTAAACCTGTTAAATGTTTGAAAGCCATAGACTGTGTTTAGTTAAATACTACATGTCGTAGTGATTTTGTCAATGTTTTAGGTCTTCTGTTTATTTAAGTAGAGGTTGAGGACTATCAGTGGTACACCCGTCAATAATCGGGGGGGGTCCCCATCTCCCGTTTATTGCGCAATATACCGGTCGAATATTTCTCAATATGCAGTAGGCCTCCTATACAATATTCCATGGATGCCAATGACAAGACAATCAGTAGTCTATACTATAGCAGCGTTTCTCAACCGGGGCACCGTCTGGCGTCTTCAGGGGTGCCGTCAAATACTTCTATATTCTGACGTTCATATGAATAAATGAATACTCGACCGTTAAAGAGCCGTCTGTTTTCGATTCTATGCGAGGAAATGCTTTTGCCAGCCAAAATAGAAGATATTTGTGAATACATGTTTTGAATTGTAAATACTGGACATAGTAAGCTTAAAAACATGTTAGTGACCATTGCAAGTGGCAAATACATTTTATAATTTGAGACCCCCCTCAAATTTAGCTGTTGAGGGTTTCAGGGGGCTCAGGTGTTAATCAGGGGGGTCGAGCTCCCCCGGACCCCCCCGTATTTCGCACACTGGTTGAGGTAAAAAAAGAAAAGAAAAACTCTAAAGAACGAATTGAAATGTAGAGAAACCTTAGCAAAAGTTGCATTAATAAAGCAGTCAGATGTATTGTGTGTAGATGACTGTTGCCACTACTTCTATTAAAGCTGTAACAATGAAATGGCAATTGCTGGTTCATAACATGTATCTGTCTATCTTTCTAAGGGAAACCATGGAATTTGATGAGGAGAAACTACCTCAGTGCCCAGCTGGATCAGCAGTGGTTTGTAAAAGCTAGTATATGTGTATACTTTTCATTAATATGCAATAACAGTTCTCGCTACTTGCTTTAATCACTTACACTCAGTACTTTGGTACTTGAAGTATATTTTGATGCTTATACTTTTTGTACTTTTACTTGAATAACATTTGTGAAGTGCAGATTTTATTGAAACGAGTAGGCTATTCCTACACACGGTACTCTCTACTTTTACTCAAGGACAAGACATAGTACTCTCTCCCCTCTGCTACACTTATTACCAACCCTCTAAGTTATGTGATTGTTTAGTTTTTCCTTTTTTAAAGGGTGCAAACATTAAGCTGTTTGACTGATCTTACCATTCTTTAAACGTTTCACCATGGAGATAAAAAAACTTGTCATAACATTTCTCCAGTTTCAAGATGGTATTTTTATGATAATCTGTGTGATTCAACAGGCAGGAGAAAGGGGTGAGGATCCAGGAATAAGACGGTGAGTTGACGTTGGGGATGAAAACATCCAAACCTGTAGTGTGTTGAACTTCTTCGTGTTGTTGTAAGGACAGCGAATTCCTGCATGTGAGGTCACACACAGGTTGTTAAAACTGAAAGATGTACTTTAAAAGTTGAAAAATCTCATTATTATTTCCCAAAAAAAAGGTCTAAATCATCACAGTAATGGGAATGATGGCCCCTGCACTGTTTTTTTGCAAAAGCAGATACACACTAAAGGAACAAAGGCAGATCCACTCGTCCTAATAATCCAATTCTTTTGTTTTTAGGTGCAAAAATAGGCCTTTTGACCTCCATCCCACTCGTCTTTCAACCAGCAACTGCTGCAGCACAAACACCAGATGCTGAGCAGCAGAGCCCGAGAGGCACGGCGCTGCGTGAGTCACACTCATACCGACGGTGGTGTGAAGGGGCTAAGTGAAACGTTCATTCATATAAAAAAAAAAAAAAAAAGAAAAAGAACCGCTTTCTTGACGTCATCGGCAATCACTCAATTATAGCAATTTTTCCAGAAGGGAACTGTGGTGTTATCTCACCCTGTCGGCCTCCCAGATAGCATGCAGGCAGCCGACTGATGGGAACGAGGCGGCTCTCTCAGGATCCAATGTGAGGATCATCCACACTTTAGTTATTACCCTCTCAAGTCCCCATTGGCGTACAATACATGAACATACTCTGCACGTGTGATGGTGGTATTCAGGTTGTAATTTACAATACTCCAAAGCTATACGATAACACAAGGACAAACAGATCATTGCAAGTGTGAGGACAGAAGTATATAGGACTTGACGTGAAAAGCTTTCATACCTAGTGGGTTGATTGGTCCTGATCTCAACACAGCGGGGTTAAAGCGATAATGTATGCTGATTGGTTCTCTCTCAGCAGGGAAGGGGTAAACCTGGAGCTATAACAGTAATAGAATATAAGCTAAACAGCCTGCGCAACTTATTCGGTAAGTTAATCTCAGTTTCTTTAATCGATGTGGTCATTTTAAAGAGTTTCTTCAGGATGGAAGGCGCTGTCCGTTCTTAATTAAGTGCAATCTCTATAGTAACACATATTGTAAAATGTGGCTTTGCATGCTCTTATTTGGCGGGGGAACCCAGTTTTACAGATCTGTTCCGACATAGTTTTGTCCACAGACGCAGGGCGCACTAGATGCAGCTTTAGATTACAATACGCTGCTGGATGTCTAAAAAGACTGATAGTAAAAAGCCACGCTTCATGTTAGTAGGTTCTCTATTGCTCTTGTTTATATCACATCCAATCTCATGAAAGCAGATCATCTTGATTATTGGTAGTGTTCTACCTTTTTTATTTATATATTCTCGAAAAGAAGGAATCAGTATATGTGAGTGAAAAGGAACTTAAACAACTTTCTTAGACATAAAACATGAAACAGCAAACATTGTGAAAGGTCTGAAGACTAGCTTTACACTAATAAATGCAACTGCTTTAATTATGGACTACACAAATGACCAAAGACTGTAGAATGAAGCTTCTGAAACATTAAGGGAAAAATATCAATCAAGGCGACATAATAGCATGGCAACTGTTAGACGGAAATTACAACTGTTTTGTGTTTCTTCCTGAATAAAAAATTCAAATAGAAAGATTTCATGAAACTTAAGGAGAACCGTGATTGGGATTAAGTCGCACATACACGGATCATTGAAGTAATTAACCAGTGAAGTTATGAAATGCCTTTATGAAGAATGGATTTGGGCTTATGACAGTAAAATCCAGGCCGACACACACAGCACCTCCACCTCATGGGGAGCCGCGGAGTGTGGTGTGCAGTCCACCAGCCAGAGAGGAAGCATGAGTCAGCCCCTCCCCATAGTGAGCAACTTATATATGAGTGGGAGTCCCCTCACTGGGAGGCTAGAATGGATAACGTCATAGAGCGGTCTTTTTTGGGCAGGAGACGCTGGGCTACCAAATAATGATATTGATAATGTTAGGCGAGTCCCCTGTAACCTCTGAGCCATTGCCTATTAAAGGCATGGAATTGAAACATATCACCAAAGTGGAATTAAGTTTAAACCCATGTCATATTTAGGACCTGTTCGAAAAAGGGCTTTGAAATTGACAATGAGAACAAGACGTAGCAAAAAACAGCAAAAAAATAATATTGAAAATTGGCGATGTATGGACCAAGATATAATGGACTAAATAGGCTATTCCTTACAGAAGAAAAAAGTGTTTTATTTTGTCGTAACAAAATGTTAAAAGGGAAAGTCTCGTCTTGAATATTTAATTCAATTCAAACATATAAGGGTGTCAGCAATGCAACATGGAAATAAACCATTTCAGTTAATTTGGACTGTTTCCTGATTGTTCTGTCCTAGCCCTCCTGCCAATACTAACACGAAAGGGACTGTAAGTTGTGGAACGCTCCGACCCCAGAAGGCCCCCAGCAGTTCATGCATCACATCCCCACTGTAAGTTTTATTGGGAATCTCACCAAATATCTGCCATTTGTTATCTTTCTCTTGCTAACATGACTCTCTCTCGCACTTTCATTTTGCAAGCGCAATAATTTTGTAATCCTACTACATTTATTTAGCATCAGAGTGGCAAGCCTCTATGTAGCAATACCCAACACTGTCCTGCATGTGGCAAGAACTAACGTACTTTACCTATTATTCTAAAAGAAGAGCTCAAATGCCTACCCTGAGAAAGCAGTAAATGAGTGTATTTGTTGGAAAGAAAACATAATAGTGTATACTAACACCGCATATAACTGCTAAAAACCAAACGATACGGAGAATTTAACTTATTTCCCATTGAAAGAACATCTCTGTAATGGGATATTTTAAGAACTGGGCATGGTTGCTTTAAATACAAGGACTGAGACTTCTTGTGCAGTATCGTGCACAGGGAAAGTAAGAGCATTGGCGATTTCTAGTTACGATAAATCCTTGTTCGTTGTATTTAGGGGATTTGTTACGACAGTTAAGAACATCGTTCAGATCCTTACCAGACCAATCTTTTAAGGAAAAGCATTAGGATGGCAGTTAGGCGGATATGACCACTAGATGTAGATGTTTATCATTCTAGCAGTGTTCACGCCTAAGGCAAAGATGGCTAAGTGTGCATGAGATTTTTTCTTCCCGGGAACAGCCTCCCAGTATCACTGCTGATCAGCAATGAAGCCCCCCCGGAATGAGGGCCTGAATTTGTCCAAAGAAGAGTCCTACATAAATTCTGTGTCCCCTCTGTATTAATTACTCAGACATTACTAAACTCTATGCTAATCCCATTTGCCTGTGTCAAGATGTAGTTGTTCTAGGGGAAAAAAGGGCAGTATACCAAGAACCCGTGCCTGGCAGGTAGAGCAGAAGCGAAACAACAGGTGGAAAAGGGAGACAGAAAAAGGCGTTGACGATCAAAAAAGTTAGTTATTTTAGTTTTTGAAAGTAATAAATACTATAATACAGTATTGCATTTTGCCGCTGTAGTTTTAATGTACACTTTGATAGATTAAGCAATAATGTTTGGTCACATGTATTCCCAACATCTGGCAGCACATATGAGACCCAGCAGCCAAACCCCTGGGAGGGAGCCAAGAAGTCGGGCCAAAACCACCAGCAAGGGTAGCGTGAAACGGAGCCAGAACCAGTCGACGACTGCTGGGAATTTTACCACCCAGGAGCGGTGAAGCAAGCACTGTTTTACTGAACAACAAGCCAAGGGTTCACAGAATGTCTTCTGATCCTAGCGCTGGCGACGAAAAAGAAGGAACTAAGAGAGTCTGTAGGCCACACACATATTTTGTAACAATGAGGATGTGGTTCTGTGGAAACAAAACTGCTCCTGTAGTCCTTGAATGTATAAGGAAAAATAGGGAAAAAGCTGATCCTCCCCATTGAGCTCTGCATAAGGCTGCTCACCCCCCAAAATAAGTGTTTTG